ACATATATATTACAACTTTTATATATTCTTCTTGGATTGATCCATTGATCATTATGCAATGTCCTTCTTTCTCTCTCTTAACCTTATTTATAGTCTATTTTGTCTGATATAGGTATTGCTACTCAAGCTTTCTTTTGATGTTCATTTGCATGGAATAACTTTTATCCATCCCCTCAGTTCAGTTTGTATGTGTCTCCAGATCTGTTGTGGATCTCTTGTAGACAGCATATATACAGGTCTTGTTTCTGTATCCATTCAGCCAGTCTATGTCTTTTGGTTGGAGCATTTAATCTGTTTACACATAAGGTAATTATAGATATGTAATTTTTTACTGCAACTTTGTCAATTGTTTTGGATTTGTTTTTTTTTTAGGTCTTTTTTCTTCCTTTCATTGTTTGTTCTTTATTTGTGTGATTTTTTGACTTTTATTACTGTTGTGTTTGGATCCCTTTTACTTTTTTGTGTGTATGTCTCTTACAGATTTTTGGTTTGCAGTTACCATGATGTTTTGATATAGCAGTCTATATATATACATGGTTATTTTGAGTTGCTGATCTCTTAATTTCAAATGCATTCCAGTTATCCTGCATTTGTACCCTCCTCCTCTCATGATTACTGCTTTAGATACATTTGTGTGTGGCTGCCTCCCTTCCTTTACTATATGTTTACCTTTAACAGTGAGCTTTCCCATTTCATAATTTTCTTGTTTCATTTGTAGCTTTTTATTTTCCACCCAGAGAAGTCCCTTTAGCATTTGTTGTAAAGCTGGTTTAGTGGTGCTAAATTCTTTTAGCTTTTGCTTGTCTGTAAAGCTTTTGATTTTTCCTTCAAATCTGAACAAGAACCTTGCTGGTTAGAGTATTCTTGTCTGTAGGTTTTTTTCTTTTCATCACTTTAAATATATCATGCCACTCCCTCTGGCCTGTAGAGTTTCTGCTGAAAAATCAGCTGATAACTTTACGGGGGTTCCCTTGTATGTTTGTTATTTGTTGCTTTTCCTTCATTGTTTTTTAATATTTTCTTTTTATCTTTATTTTTTTTTCAATTTGATTACTATGTGTCTTGGCATGTTTCTCCTTGGGTTAATCCTGTATGGGATTTTCTGCTCTTCCTGGACTTGGCTGTTTCCTTTCCCATGTTAAGGGAAGTTTTCAGCTATTATCTCTTCAAACATTTTCTCAGGCCCTTTCTCTCTCTCTTCTCCTTCTGGGACCCCTATAATGTGAATGTTGGTGTGTTTGACATTGTCCCAAAAGCCCCTTAATTTCATTTCAGTTAGTGTATTTTTCAACTCTGTTTGGTTGTTCTTTATATTTCCTAACACTTTATTAAAAACTTCTTTTAACTTTTTGTTCTGTTCATCCATTATTTTCCCAAGTTCTTGGATCATCTTTCAATCATTACTCTAAACTCTTGGGTAGACTGCCTATCTCCACGTCACTTAGTTCTTCTGGTGTTTTATCTTATTCCTTCATCTGGAACATATTCCTCTGCTGTTTCATTTTGTCTAAATTTCTATTTGTATTTTTATGTACATGGAAGGTTAGTTATACTTCTCGACCTTGGAGAAGTGGCCCTCTGTAGGGATATCCTATGTGTCCCAGCACTATACTCTCCTCTCATCACCTAAGGGCCAGGGATCAGCTGGCCCTAGGGTAGGTTCTGACTCAGTTCCACAGGATGTGGGATTTTAGCTTTCTTTGCTTCTGGTGTCTGCCCCCTGGTGGATGAGGCTGTTCTAGAATCTTGTGCAGGCTTCCTAGTGGGAGGGGCCATTGCCTGTCCACTGGTGAGTAGAGCTGGGTCCTGGCCCCTCTGGTGAGCCAGGGCCATGTCTAGGGGCATGTCTAGAGGTGACTGTGGGTTCAGGAAGTTTTTAGGTAGCGTGTCTGATGATGGGTGGGGCTGTCTTCAGCCCATTTGTTGTTTGGCCTGAGGTATCCTAGCACTGGAGCCTACAGGCTATTGGGTGGGGCCAGGTCTTGGTGATAATGGCCCAAGCAAGATGTCAGCCTTCAGATGAATACTCCTGTATATGTTCACCACCAGCTTTTATGTCCCCAGACAGCTACACAACCCCCTTGCCTGCCCTGGAGACCCTCCAAGACAAGCAGGTAGGTCTGGCCTATCATCCTTTGTTGTGACTGCTTTTGTCCTGAGTCCTGGTACATAGGAGACCTGTGTACTCTCCAAGAGTGGAGTCTCTGTTTCCCCCAGTCCTGTGGAGCTCCTGTGATCAAGTCCTGCTGGCCTTCAAAGCCAAATGCTCTGGGGGCTCCTCCTCTTGATGCCAGACCCCCAGGCTAGGGAGCCTGATATGGGGCTCAGAGCTCTCACTCCCAATGGAGAACTTCTGTGATATAATTATTCTCCTGTTTGTGGGTTGGTCACCCAGGGGTATGGAGTCTGATAATTTCACAAGCGCACCCATCCTACTGTCTCATTGTGGTTTCTTCTTTGTCTTTGGATGTAGAATATCTTTTTTGGTAGATTTCAGTCTTTTAATCAATGGTTGTTCAGCAGTTAGTTAGTTGTGATTTTGGTGTTCTCATGGGAGGAGGTGAGTTCGAGGTCCTTCTGCTCCACCATCTTGTCCCCCCAGAACATTGTTTCACATTACCCTATATTTTGAAAGAGAGGCGTTTTGCTTTACCTTTATATAAAGTATACATTTAAAACTTTAAAAATATTTATACGCATTATACATTTATAATATTAAAATAGAGAAAGATATATGCAAAACTGTAACAGTATGAATTCCTGAGGAGAAAATAAATATGAAGATCAGCATGGGATGGTGACTCTATTTCATATGTTACACTTCTACATTATTTAAACTGTTTGTTTGTTTATAGATGAAAATACTTATAAAATTTTAATAGAATTTAATCAGTACAGAAATTATAATCAGTACAGAAATACAACTTTATAAAACTGAATTATAAATACTTTGAAGACAAAATGTGTGAATGCCACCATTTAAAGACAGTATTTTAATTACGTTTCATAAAATAGTCATACTTGGAAAGGTATATAGATATCATCAAATATAATACGTGATTTACAGTCTCAGGAATTCTCCTGGATATTAGATATTTGTCCCATTCCCTTTCAATTAGCACAGCCACACTTAATCTTCCCCCCCCCCACCCCAAGTCTTCTATTATATACTACTTGAAGAGCAAGATTATGGCTAAACTGGAGTTTGCAAATCATTTACTTAGACCAATGTAAGACTACCTTCCTTTCCTCTTTGGATTGATATTTCTACTTTTACAATGCAAGTTTGGTTTTAGTGTGATGTATATTTCTTAAAGTCTGACTATGTCCTCTTATTTCTCTACAACAAAAACATGCATATGCATTAACATCTTCTGTACTTATATTGTGCTCTTAAGTCTAATTTTTAAAAATTTTTCTGACTTTAGTAATCTTTATAAATAGCAAGCAATTGATGAACACATTTAGATAATTTGCAAATATATAAAGTTTATGTTTATTGGAATGCCCAACTTAATGAAATGGATGTTTTGTATTATTTTCATCAGTTTATGTATTTGGATGATAATTTCTGAATGCTACAATGAGTAATCACTGAAAAACATTTTCATAAAAATAATTACATGGAGGGACTTCCCTGGTAGTCCAGTGGTTAAGACTCTGTGCGTCCACTGCAGGGGCACGGGTTCAATCCCTGGTCAGGGAACTAAGATCTCACAAGCTGTGCAGCCAAAAAAAAAAAAAAAAAAAAATTACATGGAAATAATTTTTCTATAGCAAAGTCACTGAATACTTTAATCTTCTTCTGATTTACATGCCAAAAAACAAACAAAACAACTCACAAGGTAATTTATCATCAGACTTTGTTGTAACAATATCTCCATGGATAACTAGATTAAGTCATCTTCAATTTTATTGAAAACAATGCACTGGTAACTACCTGACCTGTACACAAGTTTTCAAGTAAAATTAGACACCAATATTTTTATTTGCTTTTTTTTCCTTTTTCATCCCAATGGTATTTAAAGTGAGAGAAAAATGATAAAAGAGATCTTGAATTCTGTATTAAGGGAATTCCTTCTTTTAATGACTCTAATTAAGTGATTCCTCTTACTACCAAGAAAGGCTTTTGTTTGTTTTCTAATAAATATATATTTTTCTTCCATGTTTCTAATTTTGTTTTGGAGTTTTGGTGTATGAACTCCCCTTCCTGCATGTGCTTACACATACACACCTAGTTCAGGACTATATAATTCATAACTCTTTTTGTTCTGTGATTTTTATAATCAGCCATTTCTGTTTGTGGGTAGGCACTTATAGTTTGTTCCTAGGTATTACTCTTCATATCTACTCTTAATTCTTGAAAACCTTTCAGTTCAAATTCCTAAGTAAGTGGGTACACTAAAGATAAAAGTATTTTTGTGATTAAGAATGATTGATTACATTTATAGTATCAAAGGTGCAGATAAAATGGGTTATTTTTTCTTTAAATGCATATGCCTTAAAGAGAAACAAATTCAATTTCTTGGAATACGAATAAAATCTAAACCAATTTTACTGCTGCTAATCATCTTCCAAACACCTAGTAGAGAGGAAGGGAGAGTGCAGCCCAGTGTAGTGGGGAGAGGTGAGGGAACAAGGGTAGTCAAAAGTAATTGTTGGAAAATATGGTTTCTTGATATCCCAGGAAGGATTTAATAATGCAGAGATAGGAACAGTTATTTCTACTATCTATGTGTAATCAAAACATAATGGTTTGTGATAGTTAATTTTATGTGTCAACTTGACTGTGCCACAGGGTATCCAGATATTTGGTTAAAAATTATTCTGGATGTATCTGTGAAGGTATTTCTGGATAAATTAACATTGGAGTCAGTAGACAGAGCACAACAGATTGCCCTCCCCAATGTGGACAGGCCTCATCTAATCATTGGAGACCTGAGTAGAATAAAAAGCTGAGTAAGGGAGAGTTTACTTTCTTCTTCCTAATTGTCTTTGAGGTGGGACATTGGTCTTCTCCTGCCTTTTGACTCAGACTCATATTGGAACTTCCGCTGTTGACACGTACTTTGGACTTAGACTGGAACTTACGCCATCAGTTCTTCTGGGTCTTCACCTTGGCAACTGCACATCTTGGGACATCTCAGCTTTTCGGCCTCCATAACCACTTGAGACAATTCCTTACAATAGAAAAAAGGTATGTTTCATGTATATATATGTTCTGTTTCTCTTAAGAATTCTAATATATGGTTACTATCCAGTTGCTTAGAAAAGAAAAAGTGTTCCTACATTATATGGAACAACCAAATGTGAATTTTATTGGCCTCCTTTTGGGACCCAGCTGGGTACAGTCTTTACAGTCTTACATATACCAGGAGGGAGGCAAGGTATTTAGCTGCTACACAATTAATCCAAGTAAAGTGACATAGGCAAAACACACACCAACATTTACATATCAAGTAGTAGTGTTTAAATGAAAACCTGCCAAATTATTATCAATTTCATCTAATTATTTGGTAATTATGTGATTCAACTACTTTAGGTTATATATGAGGAAATAAGAAAAACAAAACAAAAAAACCTCATTGCAAAATGAGATTTACTATGACTCCTCAGGAGTGAGAGAGAGTGTAATAGATAATTTGTAGAAAATAATCTTTGTATCCATGTACCTTCATGTGTAGTTCCTCCCGTGAAAAGGTGTCTATTTCCCAGCCCCTTGAAACAGAGCTTCAGCCTTCTCTCTTAGAACACTGTGACTACCATCTGAATAAGTTCAGCCTAGCTTACTGGATCAAGAGAAAAGTCTTGGTTATGCAGTGCTATTAATGGCAATAGATGATATAGAGGGATGTTCTACTCACCTGGTACCAATACATAGGCCTTATTAAACAGAGGTCAGAGGGAAGAATATGGCCCACACACTATTACTACGCATTTAGAAGGACTAGGTACACCTTTTTTCAAAGACTTCTTCAATACAATAAATAATTTGATTTGAATCAATAATTCAAAGAATAAATTTAATTACAAATTAAATAAGGAATTAATTTGATATAATGAACAAATTGTTAAAGGTATGAAAACTATGCAAAAACATTACCGCAAAATCATGAGAGAGATAGAAAATAGATATAGATGCCAAGGTGGATAAAAATATCATAGTTAGGAAACAGCAATTTTATATTTCAAATAGAAAGCCTTCTAACATAATAATTATAATAAATATTGTTCTGGAAATTCTAATTAACTCCATTAGATAACAAAGATAATAGTATAAATATCAGAAAGAAATATAAAACATCATTTTCAGATAATACGATTAAATATCTACAAACATTACAGTTAAGCTATTGTAAGCAGTACAAAATTTTAAAAGACAATGATATGCAAATTAATATGCCAAAATTTGTAACATTTATACATATAAACTAATTATAAAATAAATTGAATATCTTATAATATTTGGTGATGTTAGACAGTATCTGTTCTAGGTGCTGAGTATAACTCATAAGTCTTACAATAGGTATTCTTATTATCCTCAAGTTACAGGTGAAACTGAGTCTCAGGGAAGTTAAATGGGCCATCATCACATAGCTATAGAGGTGACAAGATTCCTGTCCCAAGCATACTGATTCTAGAATCTATTCTCTAAACTTCTTATATTGTCCCTTGATCTAAACCATAGAACAAACACAAAATATAAAGAACTTTGCAGGATTAATGAAGGAAACAAACAAAATTGACCTAAAAACATAACTGGAAACATGGAAGGCAGAAGCCTTATTATTTTCCTGTTCTTACAATTAGTACAATGCTGGTCACATTTATTAAGCACTTAATAAATGTTAGGGAATACATAAACTAGTAACAATATCATAGAGATGTAGGATAACATGCATTCTTATTTGCTGTTTGTAGAGTATAAATTTGAATAATTTTTAAAGGAAAATTTGATATTGTTTATAATTGAAATGCTATATAACATTTATTCTACATAAATATTCTATACTGTGTATAGGTGCTTCTGACACAAAGAACTGAAAACTTGATAAATCATGCCTTTAAAAAAACTTGATAAATCATGCCTTTAAAAATAGAGTCTTTTGTTTTCCACATATAATTGGACATAGACAGTGTTTGATGTTGGCAAAGAAGTTCAACAATCTAACCCGTTTGGGGACTCTCTTATTCTTCCCTGACATCCTTAAAGCATCTTGTGTTTTTCTCCCTGTACTTGTTTCATCATGGTTTCAATATGTCAAACTCATCAGAAACCAAGTCTATTCCAGGAAGAAAGGAGGAGAAAGGGACAGAAGCAATGCACACTCTCTTCACACCTGTCACTTATCAGAAAACAAGGTATCCTTGAGAAGCCCCCCACAGATTTTATATTGCCTATTTATTTACAAACGAGTTACTCTAAATATAAGTGACTAGAGGAAAGAATCTGGCTTTCAGTACTCAATCGACACTTTCACAATCATTGCTGAAATACATATGTAAAATAGGTAGGCATGTACGACCTATACGATAAGAAAAAAAAGGCTAGAAAAACACTAAGTAACTATCAGTAGGAGATTAATTATCACAGCCATGTAAGGAATAAAGGAGGAGAATGAAGAAGTAGGAAATGCCCCTCATCATATACCTTAGCTTTGGGTGAAGTATTGAAAAAGCTAGTCATTCCTCTAATTGTTATGGTGTTAGGAAAAGTCTAAATTTAGGAGAATATTGAAATACATAAACTATGTTCTCATCTTTAATTTTAAAATGTACTCTTCTGCTAAACTGAAGACATTCACATTTTAGATCTCAAGACTGCAAGCATCAAAATGATCTAACAATCTGGGAACAACTTGGTCTAGCCTTCAGTATACGACCCAATGACCCAGTGTCACAAGCTTCTGAAATAGGGGACTGATACCATTAATAAAACATTAATTCACATACTTCTTTGTCTCTCCTCGTCTTCCTTGTCCCCAAAATTGTTTTTTTTGTTGTTGTTGCTGTTGTTTAGACAGGTTTTCTAGGTTGATATGCTTGCCTGCCTTTGTATTTTCATTTCCTAGTTTTAATCAACAATATTTATGACTTCAATATTTATAAACCAAATAAAACAAAGACATGCAATGTTCCATTGCTGCAGTTTTTTAAAAAAATTAAAGCTATTCTCCCCATCCATAAATATTTCAACACAAATTGAACTAGTCATAGAAAGATAGATTCCTATGTCCATATTTTAGCATCATAAATTGGTGGGAATCTGAATCATGGTCCATTAGGTGTGATTTATGCTTCTCATTAAATATAGCTATAGCAACTTTTTTTTTTTTTTTTGCAAAGGACAGTTAATAGTAAACAAGTTCACTTGGAAGAAATTTAGATTCTCCATAAATAACACTTCTGTGGGACTTCATCACTTCTGTTTCTATAAAGCTAATTAGTAGACCAACTCATGGTATATGTTGAAATCTCTAACAAACTTGTTTAATATTCTTTGTCACAAACTAAAGCAATGCAAAGAAATTATAAAAAGCTGTTCAAAATCTTATTAAAATACTGAAATCAAAAGAGCCTAAGTTTGGGGAAAACAGAAACAAATGTTTCTGAAATATAATATTTCCTAATTCTTTTTTATGTAAAGCACAAACTGAACATTGTAGGTACTTTTTCATAAGGAAAATTTAGCCAACTTTGGAGTTGTACTTACATAATATGGTATATTTTGTTATTCAGAAAAGATTAATCTTTCTTACCCACTTCTAGGGGAGTATTTTATTTTCCCACCCTGTGAGTGTTGCATTTGACTATGTGATTCCCTCTGGCCAAAACAATGTTAGAGGGTATGACACATGAGCATATCCAAAGAGAGGCTTTATCTGTGCTTGCATGGATTGGTTAGTTCTCTCTTGTGCCCCTGTCCACAGGTGTGAGAATTTCATATCCCAGATAGGGTATGCCCTTTCAGCTTGGATCTAAACACACATTTAGAGCCAACCTGCATCTTGGAGGTGAATCTTACTGAACCCGGGACAGCCTAGCAGAGTCAAGCAGAGATGCAGCTGATTCATATACCCATGGACACAAAAGAAGTGGTTTTGCCTTTAAACCACTTATTTCCCATGCTGTTTGTTTGCTATGAAACATTGCTACAGCAAAAAGATAAGATATACAAATGGTTAACATTCCAGGTTGGTTAATAAGGGATAGTCAAAATCACTCTTGAAAATTCTTTGGTCGCTAATAAAACACACTGTAGTTACTTTTGTGTAAACGTCTCTGTGATATGTCCAAATAAATGTATATTCCAAATATATAAAATGTATATGTAAACAATTTTATAGTACTACATTTTAAATATTAAAGATGTTCAACCTATGGAAGAAGCTTAAAATAATAACCATTGAGGAATAACTTGACTTCTCTCACATGAACACTCCTGGGCATGTATTCATTTAATAGGACTGCCTCCCTAATAAAATGGCTATTTTCCTTTCTCCTATTTCTTTTTCCTGAGTAGGCATTATATTAGAACTCCTCTATATAACTCTGCAACCAACATGAGATCAGTATATATACTTATATTTTCATCATGTTTTATAATTTTTAATTAAATAAAAACACTGAATTATGCAAAGTTTTATTAATTGATATAACTGCCAACATTATAATCCAATCACAATACTATTTTAGTTTTTATTCCCCAAAACATTTGTATTTGGATATTTTTCCAATCAACATGGCCTAGTCTCTGGTAATTGCCCCTCCCTCATCATAGAATTCAAATGGCTGGTTCCATTCATGTATTCATTCATTTACCCATTTGACTACAAAATGGAGCATTTGTATGATCTAGGGATAGAACCTCTATAGTTAAGCACTATGAGGATATCTGATATTTGTAAATTTTATATATAATTTATTTAGAAAAACCCAATAGCCTATTGGGTTATAATTTTGGGGTTATAATTTTGGGGTTATATCAGTTAATAAAACTATATTTAGTTGAGTATACATATATTGTTTAATTAAAACAAAATATGAAAAGAGAAGTGCATATATATTAAGTCATCAAGAAGTACTTATCGAGTGGTGATATGTGCTGCAGAACTTACAGCAAAGAATATAATATCTTCATGTAACTTTGATCCAAATGATATAGTCAGAGCATGTTATATATGTTTTATATACATATATATACACATACATATATGCATATAAGCATATAATAATATACATGTATAAGTATGCATCTGTGTTCATGTATACATATATATACACATTGATGTATACTATTAAAATAGATAATAAGTACTATAACAAAGCAAAACCTGGCAAAGACTATACAGCTGATGAAAAATTAGTGACCTGGAAAATATATGTGAAACACAGATAGAAAACATGTAATAGTGATTGAGATGGAGGATTAATTAAATGTTATAACAACTATCGATTGAAGTTTAGATGTAGAGAAGACCAAAAATGAAGAAAACATAATAAAGAAATAATGATTAGAACTTATGAAAGATATAAATCCAAATAAATTATTTGTAAAAATTTCTAGCAGGATAAATGAATATAAATTCATATGCATATTATCAAATGTCGAAGAAAGAAAAAGGTCTTAAAAACAGGCAGAACAACAACAATAACAAAAGCAGGTTACCTAATAACACTGGACAAATAGAAATAACAGAATTTTCAACAACAAAAATATAATTTAAATGAAGTGAACTAATATCTAGCTGTCAACCTAGAATGCTGAACTCAGAAAATAAAATAAATATTACAAATGAGAGTAAAATAAAAATATTCTTAGTTAACTAAAATGGGAGAGCTGCTTATCTGGATCTCAAATGTATCTACATATAGAGAACACACTGAAAGAAGAAAGGAAAAAGATAAATGTAAGCTGACACAATGAAATAAGAAATACATTTTATAAAACAGTTTTGGTAAAAAGGAGCAGAAAGCATATTTTGTTATCAAACAATAGGTGAGAAAGATGTTTAGGAAAGAAAAATTAAAATTCTAAATACATTAAAAAGAATTAAATGCATTGAGTGATATTCCCTATTTATTATAAATATATGCAGTCTCCCCAAACTGATCCATAGACACAATATAATATGAATCAAAATCACATTGTGATATTTCATGGAGCTAACAAGTTGACTCATATGTATATAAGGATCAAGAGTAGGAAGAAAACAAAACAGAATTATATAATCATTCAAAATGAGCAAGTTTCTGGTAGAGGAACTCTTTATAGGATATAATGATATTATAAAGTTCTGGTAACTAAGGGAAGGTGGTATTGGCACAGAGCATTAAACATTAAGCAGTCTAAACCAGACCTTTTCATATATGTAAATTTGATGTGACAGAGAATCCATTGTAGATTGGGAGGAAGGGATGGACTATTCAATAAATTTGCAGGGTAAATTGGTTATCCATAAAGAAATAAAATGAATTTTAATCTCTATATATTTTATCATACAGCTTAAGATGGGTATAAGAAGTGAATATGGAAGGCATAATTTTTTAATATTTAGAAGAAAATATAATAATGACACAAAATCATTAACCAAAAATATCAATGTGGGAGATGTAAACTAAAAAATTTCTAGAGCTCAAACAGGGCATGGAGATATTATAAGCTCTAGACAGCCAAAGTTAGTTAGGAGTGGAAATTCTTACTGATCTCCTGAGGCATTCAATAGGGAGAGCACACACACAGATCACACCTTAGTAGCAGAGCTAAACTATCCCTAGATTAAAAAGCTAGGGCAGGCATAGAACTCAAGTAGCTTTAATTTTTTTTATTTTTTATTTATTTATTTTTTTTTGCAGTACGTGGGCCTCTCGCTGTTGTGCCCTTTCCCGTTGCGGAGCACAGGCTCCGGACGCGGAGGCTCAGCGGCCATGGCTCACGGGCCCAGCCGCTCCGCGGCATGTGGGATCTTCCTGGACCGGGGCACGAACCCGTGTCCCCTGAATCGGCAGGCAGACTCTCAACCACTGCGCCACCAGGGAAGCCCTCAAGTAGCTTTATTAAAGGGTTAATTTTTTGCCATGTATCATGGAGCTATGCATCCATTGTTTATTATTCTGTAAATACTAAAAGGAATTGCTATGCAGATTTCTGGTGCTCTTTCCTGTATAGGTTCCTGTTTGGGGAAACATTGTTTGACAACATCCAGCCCCCTCAGCCAACTTCAGCTCTGATCTGTTTCCTCATCTCAACAGCACCACCATACTGGAATTCTCATCCTTGCATTGTAGTCTAGAATGTGTTTATAAGAGAAAAAAAGCAGGGCAGTCACTAAGCTCATCTCAATTGTCATCTTTCTCTCAGAGTTCACAGTTCTGCACGGACTGCTATCCAGTGTTCAAAAACCATTGTTCCATATATTTCATCAGCTTTCTAATTGTTTTTTGGTGGGAGAGTGAACAAAGTTTCTACAATAATGATCACCTCTGAAGGAAAAGTAAGGTGAGTTTTACACAATAGATATAATAGTAATTTGATGATCGGTTTATTAATGTATTTTTATTTTCAAAACTCCTATGTCATACACATAAACACACAACACTATCTTTTATCAATTATTCAAAAAACTGAAAGAACAGAAACAGGATAACAAGTTAAATGATTACTACAATATTAATTTGGACAGCCTAAAGAAGGTGGAGGTGGTACATGGTCATTAGTTTCACTGCCTACTTTGAAAGCAGAGTTTCAGGATTGGCTAATGGGTTAGTCCTAGGATGTGGAGAAAGAATTTAGAGAAGGATAACTGCAAGTCTTCTACCCCCAATAAACTGGGTTAATGTTTGTGCTCTGGCAAAGATGTGAAAAAACTGAGCCATGAGCAAATTTGAAAAGGGAATTAATAAATACTTAAGTTTGACATTGTGAGTTTGAGATGCCCATGAGACTTCAAAGTAGAGCTATAATAGGTATTTCATGAGAGAGTTCAGGGTAAAACATTAATTTGGACATATCTGTGCATATATGAGATTTAAATCTATACACTTAGATCATCTAAGGAATAAGAATAATTAGAGTGGAAAATGTCTGTAGCCAGACCTCTTGTGCACTAAACCATACAGAGAGAGTTTCTGTAGGGTAAGGAGTTAGGAAAGGAGGCTGAGGAAGAACAGAGGGTCATATAAAAGAAAAACTAGGAGAAGGCAGTGTATTGGATGTTTGAAGAGAAAAGAAGTTGTTAGTCATTTCAGAAAATGGATAGTAAGGAGAGATTAGGAAACTAAGTAAGCTAGTCCCCACTCTATGTCACTCAATTTGGCCTATCTGGAAAAAAAGAGAAAAAAAAAAAAAGAGAGAGAAAGAAAAAGAAGAGGAGGAAGAAGAAAGAGGAAAAAAGCCTGAATAAGACATTTGACTAAAGTGTCAAACCTGTTTATATGAGGTGATAAGACAGGACAAAAATTGAGTGTTTTGGAAACCATGTAATTTATTATGTCTATTAGAGTTTAATTTTGTAAACATAATTTATTGCTGATGGTGCTTAAATGTATTTATTTATCATTTGGAACTTTGTAAAAGAAGCCAATTATTCACAGAGACATGCTCAGTGTTTTATTATATAACTTGTCCCTTGTAATGTAACTTTGTAAAATGGAGCTGATGATTCAGGTTGCCAACTTATGCACCAGCATAAAATTTGTTTCCCTTGGTAGTGCTAATAATAACACAACAACTCGCCTAGGGACCCAAACAGATTGTGCAAAGTTGTTTACTTCTGCTGCTGTTAAAGGATGCTACAAAAACGATTATCCCCTACCTGAAATATCCTAAAGGAAAAAACACCTGGTGATAAATATTTTAATTTTTGAATCTAAAGCAACATTCCATTCTCTTTTATCTACATGCATATATGGTTCCCTCTCTCAAAAGCCTCTTTATTTTTGGGGGAGAAATGGCTAAAATTTATTAATCTACAGATAAATTTCAATCCTTTTAGTGGTCACCTTCATGCCTACTTGCAATGTTCATCACAAAGAACAATAAAAGGGCTTTGACCTGAGCAAGTAGAAAGTTACTTTCATTCATAATAGCATTCACTCATTGTGACTAAAGGTCAGCTTTACAGCATTTGTAATTAGATTTTTCTGTTTTAAAAGATGCTTAAAGATATTACCTTACAAAGAGTTAAAAATCAAAAGGAAAGTGTAATATATACCAATAAATTTGTTAAACGAAATGGACAAATTTTGAAAGACAAAAAAACGAAAGAAGAAATTAAAAATTCAAATAGTGCCTTATCCATGAAAGAAACTGAAATCATAATCAAAACCTTTTCGTAATGAAAATTCCTTCCTAGAGTGTTTTGTAAAACATTTAAGGAAGAAACTATACAGATCCCACACAAAAACCTTTCTAAAAATGAGGAGCGTACAGTTTCTTGTATGATAGCAGCATAACCCTGACTCCCGAACCTGACAAATAAGAAAAATACAAATCAATTTCCTCATAACTGTAGATACAAACATCCTTAATATAATATTAGCAAGTTGAGTCCACTCATGTATAAAATAATAATATATTGTGTAAAAGAATAGTTTTGCCATGATTATAGTATTAACATTCAAAAAATTTCTTCAGTTAAATAATACACATTACAGAATAAAGAAGGAAAAATAAGTGATTATATCAAGACGTAGAATAAGAATTTAATAAAACATCCACTCATAAACTGATAATAAGTTTCTTAAAAATTAAATAGTGTCATACATATTGGTGAAATATGAGGACATCTCTGGTGAATTTCACAAAGCACTAAAAGAAGAATTAATACTAACTTTTCACTAACTCTTCCAGAAAATAAGGGAGGAAAGAACACTTCCAGACTCATTCTATAAAGTCAGTATTACCCTTATACTAAACCCAGACAAAGATATCACAGGAAAAGTAAACTATATAACAACAACTGCTATGAATATAGACATAAAATTTCTCAACAAAATACTAGCAACCCCAAACCAGCAATGTTAAAAAGGATTATACATTAGGACTAATTAGGTATTATCTCAAGATAGCAAGATTTTTTTAACATTCTAAAATCAGTTAATGTAATTCATCATATCAATAGAATAAAGGGGGGAAAACACCTGCTACTCATAGAAAGAGCATCATACAAATTACAACACCAATTCATGATAAAAACACTTAATACACTAGGACTAGAAGAGAATTTCCTCAACTGATAAAGAGCATCACCACCAACAAAAATTATCCCACAAATAACATCATATTTAATGGTGAAAAACCAACTGTTTCCTCCCAGCCAAGACTGAAAGCAAGACAAGGATATCTACTCTGACTACTTTTATTCAAGGCTGTACCAGAGCTTTTAGCAAGGAAAATTATGCAAGAAAAAATTTTTAAAATTCAGGTTGGGAAGAAAGAAGTAAAACTATGCTTATTCACAGATGACATGATCTTGTACATAGAATATCCCAGGATATCCACTAAAAATCTACTACAACTAACAAATAAATTAAGCAAGGATAAAGGATCTAAGAGCAATATACAAAAATCATTTGCTACACTAGCAGTGAACAATAAAAACATTTAAAAAACAATCCCATTCATATAAATATCAAACATATGTAGGGATGTGATTAATAAAAGTATAATATTTATACTTAAAACTATAAGAATTTGTTGAAAATAAAGATATAAATAAACAGAAGGCATTTCAAGTTCATAGATTAGAAAATTTAACATTATTGAGATGGCAATATTCCCCAAATTGGTTACCTGATTCAATACACTCTCAATTAAAACTCTCATCTGACTTTTTTGTAGAAATTTAAGAACTGATTCTAAAATTTATATGGACATGAAAAACCTAATGACCAAAACAATCATGAAAAAGAACAAAGTTGGAAGACTCACACCTGTGAATTTCAAAACTTACTATGACACTATAGTAATCAAAACCATATAGCACCTGCATGAGAATAGATATAAAGATAAATGGAATAGGATAATATTTATGATCAATTGATTCTCAGCAAAGCTGTCAAGACAATTTAGTTGGGGGAAGCATCGTCTATTTGAACTGCTAGATATCCACATTCAAATGGATGAATTTGCACCCCTACCTCACACCATATTTTTAAAAAACCTCAAAATGAATCCATAGATCTAAATATATGAGCTAAAACTATTAAACTCTTAGAAGAGAATGTTTGAGTAAATCTATGTAATCTTGGGTTAGGAAGTTATTTTTTAGATATGAAAGTAAAGGTATAAGTAACAAAAGCCAAAATAGGTAAACTGTACTACATGAAAAAAAAAAGTGCTGAAAGAAAGTAAGAAGAAAACCCACAGAAAGAGAGAAAATATTTGCAAATATAGATCTGATAGTGGGCAAGAGTGACTATACTGAGACAAAATAGACTTTAAGTCAAAAATTGTCACAAAAGACAAAGAAGGTCATTATATAATGATAAAAGGGCCAATTCATTGCATAAATATATACATCACCCACATCCGAGTATCTAAATATATAAAACAAATATTCACAGCTCTGAAGGGAGGAATACACAGCAGTAATAGTACAGTAGGAGACTATTGCCCTACTTCCAACAAGGACAGCACGTCCAGATAGAAAATCAATAAGGAAACAGAGGACTTAAATGACACTATAGTCCAAATAGACCTAACAGACATACACAGAACATTCTACCCAACAGCAGCAGAATACATTCTTCTTCAAGTACACATGGAACATTCTCTGATAGGTCATATGTCAGGTTAAAAAACAAGTCTTAGCAAATTTGAAATAATACCAAGTATCTTTTTTGACCATAATGGAATTAAACTAGACATCAGTTAAAAAAAAAAAAAAAGAAAAAAGAAAAATTGGAAAATTCACAAATATGTGAAAATTAAACAACACACTTTTCAACAACAGTTGCATCAGTGTAGCTATGCCAACATCTTGATTTTAGTCCCATAAAACCATACCAGTTTTTTGACTTCTAGAACTGTAAGATAATACATTTTTTAAGCCACCAAATCTGTGGCAATTTGTTACAGCAGTAATAGGAAACTAATATAGAGTTACTAACCATTTATTGTCATGTTCCTGTGTTATGGAAATTTCCTCTAGTGAACCTGGAATACTATCACACTGCAATCAGAAGTCTCTACCATATAAAAACTAAGAAAGCTCCCATGATGTATTAGCTCCCATCATGGAAGGATGGGATATTCTATTTAAAAGTTTTATTGGAAAATTGTTATGTTTTTTAAAGAGCTTTAAGGGGCTTCCCCAGTGGCTCAGTGGTTAAGAATCTGCCTGCTCTTGGAAGGGACATGGGTTCGAGCAGTGGTCTGGGAAGACCCCACATGCCACGGGGCAACTAAACCTGTGAGCCACAACTACTGAGCCTGTGCTCTAGAGCCAGCGAGCCACAACTACTGAAGCCCGCATGCCTAGAGCTCATGCTCTGCAA